AACAATGGAAGAGCAGCAAACTTTACATCAGGTGTGCAAGATGAGTTCTATTTTAGTTTAATTTAAGTTACAAACCAGCCCATTTAGCTGTGAACTAGAAATTATTGAAGTAGATAAAAATATATTAAAATGAAAAAAAAGTTCGAAAAATGAGGTTCTGGAAGTTCTTTATTTTAGGGGGAGGTTCTTTATTTTATTTTTATTCTGAGGTTCTTTATTTTAGGGATACAATGTAGGTCATTGTCGCGGAGGTCTATTCTGTTTAAATACATGATTGTTGGTATAAAAATACAAATTGCGTAATTTTAAAATCGTTTAAAAGTTATTTAACAAACCAAAAACAATTTGTTTCTTTTAGAGATCCTTATCAAAAAAATGTTTTAGATATTTTATGTGGTGTTCCGCAAGGATCTATTTTGGGGCCACTTCTTTTTTTAATTTACATTAATGATTTGAATAAAAATTCTAATCATTCAAGTATTATGTTTGCGGATGATACTAATTTTTTTTTTTTATCTGATAACAAAATTAACAAACGTTTTACTATACTATGAATGAAGAACTCAAAAATATTCCTAGTTGGTTAAGGCAATAAACTTACCCTAAATATTCAAAAAAAAAAAAAAAGATTCCTTTTCATTTGATAACTAAAAAAGTTATTTACCCCCAGCTCTACCTAATATTTTTATTGACCAAATTGAAAAGAAAAGAGATTGCGTCACAAAATTTTTAGATGTATTCCTTGATGAGAACATCACATGGAAGCAACATATTGATTATGTTGTTAGTAAAGTTTCCAAAAATATTGGAATTCTTAATAAGGCCAGAATGTATATGAATAAAAAAGTTCTCCTGCTGTTTTTAACGATCAAAGTACCTTGAAACCTACCAATAAATGTTCTCGTAGAAATATTTTATTTAGAAAGATTCATAGAAACATTCTATGAATCTTTCTAAATAAAATCTATAAGAGCCTTTTTGCCATACAAATTTTAACCAACTTTGCATTGAATATCGTTCATCCCATTTTCGGAATAAAATTGTTTTGCTTAATTTTAATTTTGATATACCTAGTTCTTTATTCTTTATTCAAGCAATAACTTTTATTGCTAATGTAAACTTTATTCAGACATCTTTCGGAATGCAGAACGATGTTTTGGGGAAATTATTTGTTGCTTGTAGTTCAGATCAGTGCTCGAAGTGGGGCGGGATGCCATCGAGTCACCTATTTATAAAGTATAAACCATTCCGCCACCTTTTTATAAATCTCTATATATAACAATGATAAGGCAGAATGGTATTTTTAGTTTACCGAATAGTTTCTTTTTTTTCTCCACTTCGAGCACTGGTTCAGATACAAAATATGTTGAAGAACTTGGCAACTTAATTTATCCACCATTTATTAACATGAAAAAGTGAACATTTTTTGTAATTGTATATATATTTATAGAACTCCAGATAATTCTTGAAATCCCATCCTCTTCTTAAAAAACGCTAATCGTGTTTTCAAAGGTTTTTCAGAGTATTGGGCTGAAGATACAATATGTTTTATTAATTACACATTTAGCTTCAATCAATTAACGGTGGACATTATGCAAGAAATATTTTATAAAAATTGACACTTTTTAGGCAAAAACTATTATATTTGTTAATTAATATTTTTATTTAAAAATTTTAAGTATTTCAAAGTTATTGTTTTTTAATGCTTTTAAACATTCAAAGAAAATCTTGCAAAAAAAAAACAAAACATAAAACAACTTTAAAATTTTCTCAATTAAATCAAAAGTCAACATCGCTTTTGAAATTGAGCAGCCGTGGCTTAGTGGTTAGTGGTTAGTGGAGCGCTTGCTTTAGAAGCAAGAGATTCAGGGTTCAAAGCGAGCTCTGGGCATATTTCGCGCCATTGGTAAGGAAGGAGACGTGAACTTCTTAGATAAATGCTCTTCCGCTTTCAAATGTTTATAAACATTATAAAAATTAATATTATAACATTAAATATTATAATATAGTTCCAATATTAATAAACTTTTTAATTATTATAAATATAATAACATAAAACAATTTATTTTGTATATAACATTTAATCTATAATATCTAATTACAAAAATCATAGAAGATATTTTATACTAATAAATTCACATTCAATACAAAAAAGATCATGTGTAATAAAAATATAAATAATTCTATGTAAAGATTATATATTATAAAAAAAGGCGCAAAAAAAAAAAGTTAATAAAAAATTGTAATTGTTGATTATAAGCATTTTGCAGCTTTAAATGTATGAATCCTATAAATCTACATATTAAATGGAAATAAACTCATTAGATATTAAAATTTAGCTTAAGACAATCTATTTAATTTTACGATTATCAATACATTAGACGATCTATTTACTTTTTGTCATGTAAAATGTAAAGACATCGTAGTAGAGAGCGACGATGTATTGTTTAACACCGTTAAATACGTCGATCCATCTTGTTCAATGCATCGTTTTCAATGCATTGAACAAGATGATTTGAAAAAGATGCATTGAACTCCTTAATTGTAATTATTAATGTAATTTTCTTTAAACACCATAATTGATTACTGCAACTACTATTATTTTTATTACTATTGTTATTGTTATTATTACTATTGTTACTTAGTTTTTCTGATATAAATGGACAACTTTTGCACAGGCAGACTCATGAGAAATAAAAAACTAAAAATTCACCTCACCCATTTCAATACCGACACTCTGCCACAGCACCGTTGTTCAATCTTGGTACAACAATGCATTTTTGTATTTTTTTAGATTTTTTAAATCTGCTTTCTCTTTTTTTTTTTTTTTTTAAGTTGATTAAGGTGCCCCAAGAAGTCCTTACTGTCTTATCACAGAGCACCGCGGAGGAGCATTTAATAGGAAGTTCACGCCTCCTTCCCAACCGATGTCGCAAAACTTGCCCAGAGGTGGGGTTTGAACCAGGGATCTTACGTTTCTGAATTTTCTTGAATTTGAAAGAAAAGATTTTATGGTTTTGTTGAAGGTGTTCACAACAGATTAACATTGGATTAACAGTTCACAACAGATTAACATTGGAATGGTTAAAAAATACACGGCTGCTTTCGCACTCCGTAGTTTTATTAACATTTAAGATTCTGCATGACGTTGGATATATATATATATATATATATATATATATATATATATATTATTTTGAGTATTTCTTACGCAATTCAGGTCACGTAATCCTCTTTAATACCTACTGTTTGCCACTTTATTGCTATCCTTACTGCCTTCAAACTCGTTTTGCTTGTTTCAACACTTAGATTTTATAAACTATTTAGAAACTCTTCAACATGTCATAACTGATTTTCAAATGCAAATGTTTATAAAAAAAGTGTCAAACTAATATATGAGTTAATCAATTAATTTTAAATAAAATTTGAAATATCAAGACGACAAATTTTTATAATTTTTTTTGTTTGTTTGTAATAATAATTTACCTAACAACAACCTAAATTATTTATGTTTTTGTCTCGTCTTAATGTGTTGCTAGATTTTTGGTAGTTTCGTAATATTCATTTTTTAACTTTTTTAGGTATGTAAAAAAATGTTTGTTATGCAAACTTATTTTTTTTGACGCAATTGATAGTGTTGACAACGTAACAGAAAAAATAGTTTGATGTTAACTTTAACTATAAATTATCGGCAACACTGGCAAGGAAGGAAGCGAAACAGTGCTTCGCAGTGTTTCGTGACTCTTTAAAAAAAAAATCTTTTTGCGATTCCTTTTAATCTCGATAATACGAATAAAATTATGTTTATTTTATTCAATATATTAGATTTTAAATGTTTTTTTAGGATTAAGCTTGATAAACAATATAAATATTTTACTTGGGAGTTCGTATTTATATGTTAAACCTATATTTTATATTTATGTACTAATACATTATATATTTACGATTATACAGTAAATTAAAACATAAAATGGGTCCCAAAGACAACATTACGTCAAGACTATTCTAAATAGTTTATAAAATTTAAGTGTTGAAACGAACAAAACGAGTTTAAAGGCAGTAAAGATAACAACAAAGTGGCAAACAGTAGGTATTAAAAGTGGTTACGCGATCTGAGTTGCGTAAGAAATACTCAAAAATATATATATCCAATGTCATGCATGAATATATATATATATATATATATATATATATATATATATATATATATATATATATATATATATATATATATATATCTAACGTCATCCTGCTTATTTTATTGTACTTATATTTATAACTGGTATATAGAGGAGACTGACATATAACGGGCTTCTTTTCAAAAAAATGATAGAATTAACTATCTGTAACCAACTGAAAATTATAGTGTTTTTTTCAGGAAGTTCAATCAATGTTCTTCAATTTAACATCAGAAAATTAAAAGTCTATGTCTTATGTTAAGGAACAACCGTTCAACAAAGAAATGCTAATCGCCCATTATACCGTGGAGTAGCCTAAAATGGCTCGCTTAATTTAATTTCTGAATAAAACCTGATTATTAGTCAAAAATTGACTATAACTAATTTTTAGATGATACACTATCTTCTGCTTTTTATTTACATTAAAAATTGACACTCTGAGTAAAGAAAAATTGACAATAACTTTATTTATAATCCAACTAAAAAATATTTAGCTCAATAAAATTTCAAAAGTAGTACTTTTAAATATTCTTTTTGTACAAACAAGAAATTTGATAGGGACCCATTTTATTAAAGGAGCCCGTATTAGACCACTTTTCTTAACATTAAAACAGAAAATAAAAGCAACCGTGGCGCAGTAAAATAGATATGCTGCGGCTATACTTGTGACATAGGCGAGAAAGGCTCCGTAACAAGGCCGGTAAGTCTTCTGGAAGCACCTTAATACCCCTCCCCCTTCCTTAAAAAAAAAAAAAAAAAAAAAAAAGTTTTTTTCTCGCATAAAATTTAAGTTGGATAGTGGTAACTAGTAGCAGCTAAAACTTTTAAACAAATATTTTATTTCAGAAGTTATCTTTATACTTGATTTCAACTATTAAAGCTAACAGGAAAATTGTGAAATATTATTTCTATTATTGCCATCATTAGGTCTTTTTTTTATATTCAGGAACAGAAGCGCTTACTTTTCCATATTGACATTTTCCTGAAAACAGTTAAACTAAAGTTAAATTAAAAAAAAAATGATTCAACAAAGCTGTAAAAATGTAACCATTATTAAGTTCATTTGTAAAGGATAACTAACCTTTAGCGCATAAATCATACCGCGGCATGTTCATGTAAGGCGGAATTAGTTCTTTTAATTCTGGTAGTCGTGCAGGTACTACAAATACAACGTTGCGACAAGCAATTATTACCAAATAAAATTAATTAAGAAATTATACAAATTATTAGAGTTAGGTACAATATCAACAGTTATGTAGGTAAAAAATAAAACACTTCATTTTGAATTGTTTAGCAATTTTAAATTATGTGATTTGATTTCATATATGATTAACTATTGTTTAAATATTTTTGATTATGCTAATGTGATTAATCGTCGTTGTTCAAATGATTTTAATTTATTTTAAAAAATTCATTTTCAAATTCAAAAATTAAAACGAATCGTATAATTTTAAGTATTGCTGAAATAATGTTTTTAGCGATTTTTGCTGAGTCACAATTCTTTTAAAACAAAATTTTATGTAATTTTTGTACCAAATATAACTTCTATTTTAGTTGTCATGCACTTAACAAGTAAAAATAAACAATATTACAAGAAAAAAACTTTTATTGGAAGTAAAAAAAAAAAAATTTTCATTTGAAAACAAAAGATAGGGAAGACCGGTGTTAGTTGGAACACAGGGTTAGTTGAAACATTGAACTTTTGCACCGTATTATTTGTAATAATAAACTAACGAGTAGTTTATTATTACAAACAAGTAACAAAGGTTTCAAGAACTATTTTGTTGTTAAACAAAATAAATTAAAATAAATTAAAAAACTGTTGCTCAAGATTTTAGAGAATTTTTTATATGAAACTTTTTTAAATTAGAGTTTAAAACGAGGATCTTATTATTTAGCAAATATTTTCATTTATTTAAGTCTTGCTACCGCACATCGTTGATAGCGGCTTCTTTATTATTTTGAACAAGAGACGTTGGTTGCAGCCTTTTAATATCAATTGAATTCTTAAAAACAATGGTTTTCAACTCTTCATAAAAGTATACAATGTTGTGCGTTTAAAACCTAAACATCTTAAAAGTTCTTTTAGTTTTTCAAAGAAGTTAGTTGTTTAAATTTAAATTATTTTTTTAATATATTATTTTAATTTTTCTTAAAAACTATTTGCGATCACGCCTAATAAAAATTTTGCAAAAAGTAGTGAAAGAGTTATCGGCATTAATAAATTATTTTCAGAATGCGTAATTATAAACAAAAGACACCAGCAAAATATGATCAACAAAAAACATCAAGTGATACGATGCTTGCTGCTGTCAAATGAGTAGTTGAAAATAGAGAGGAATGCCGAGGAGTTGTAACAGACTATGGCATTCCTTATGTGACGCTTAGAAGATATCAAAGTCAAAGCAATGCCAATTTGCATCAAGTTAAAGCAATGCCAAGTATCAAACCTATATGCCTAATAATGCTAACTAGTAATGCCAAGTATCATGCCTGCATATATGCCTAATAATGTCTGTATATATGCCTAATAATATCTGTATATATGCCTAATAAGTATGCCTGTGTATATGCCTAATAAGTGTCTGTATATATGCCTGTATATATGCCTAATAATGCCATATATATAAACATGCATGTATATATGCCTAATAATGCCAACTAATAATGCCAAGTATCAAACCTGCATCAAAGTCAAAGCAATACCAAGCACCCAGTTTAACTGTGGGGTATCACAACAACAGAAATGCTTTTATTATTGAAGAAGTAAATGCACTTACGAGGTACATATTAGATACCTCATACGTATACTATGGCCTCACTCCTGCAGAAATGCAAAAGTTTGTATACAGTTATGCGAAAAAAAGTGAATACAAAATTTCTTTTTCATGGGAAAAAAAAAAGCGTACTGGTGCAGAATGGTTTTATTTGCCAGAACTTGCCATAAGAACGCCCGAAGCTTGAATTATTGCTGAATCACGCCACAAGCTTTTACAGATATAATGTAAATTTATTTTTTCGTATTCCGTACAAACAAAACACAGTTTTACCGCAACAGATATTTGAAATGAGCCAGGTTGTACAACTGTACAAAAGATTATTGTCAGAAAAAGAGTTTAGCAAATGGGAGCTGTCACAATGACCGAGAGAGAAAAACTATCGACATGCTGTCGAATACATCTTCCGTGCTGAGGTGTAGTGTAATGTTTTAAAAAGATAAAAGAACCAATAATGTTAAAAGGAACTAGATTGAAATTGTCATTTTTACATGGTTCATTTGTTTATTAATAGTGGGTTTTTTCTACTCTATGTACATGCTTTCTTTGAGTTTTAACATAAATTTGTTGGGGGCCGAATCCAAAATTGAAAAATTATCATGATTAAAACTATTAAAACAGCTTTCATTTGAATGAATATGTCTATAAATATATTAGTTTTTATATGTTATATTAATGAATATGTTTATAAAGTGTGAGTTTTTATCCCTTTTTTGGTGCTCGATTATTTGTGTCTTTAAATGGCGAGTATTTTCGCCAATATAACAAGATTTACAGCCTGCGCATTTAAATTTATAGACTACGAATAAATTAAAATCTGTAGGAAAAGGATCTTTTGTGGAAAAAAATTTTGAAATTTTAAATGAAGTAAAAACCAATCTTACAGTGACAGATTGTGTAATCTTTTAATGATTGCGTTTAGTCTTTGTTTGGTTAAATCAGATATTTTTCCAATATAAGGAAGTTTAAAATATTGATAATTTTGTAGGTTTTCCGAACGTGATGAAATGTCGACATTGGCGTTGTTAATATAAGAACTATGGATTTTCTTAATCAACCAAGACGGGTACAAGTTGCGTTTGAGAACTTTAAAAAGATCGTTAATATCATGACTAAGACCGAGACTAGTGTTGTTTATTTTATAAGCTCTATCAATTAAACATTTAACCATACTAACTTTGTATGAAAATGAAGTTAATCTAAAAAAGTTTGTGTAGAGCCCCGAAAAAGTTTTCTTATGAAAAACAGTGGTAATTGTGGAATTGTTTGTTTTATTTAGAGTTAGATCCAAAAAAAATATTTTTGATTGAATTTCTTTTTTCATTGTAAAAGTAATAGAACTATGTTTATTATTGATACACTCCAAAAATAAATCGACGTGATTTTCGGAAGTGAAAGCAGCAAAAATGTCATCTACATACCGTTTATAAAAAGCTGGTTTTTCTCCGTTATATGATTTGAGCCATTTATCTTCAAAATTTCCCATGAAAAGATTAGCAAGAACAGGTGCTAAGGGAGAACCCATAGCAACGCCATCAATTTGGACATAAATTTGTGCTTTGAAGAGAAAATGAGTTTGAGATGTTGCAAAATTGAAGAGTTTTTTTAAATCACTTTTACTAATTTTAAGATTAACTTTACTATTTATAATGGTATTGGCAACAATATCAATTGTTTCTTTTAGTGGAATATTGGTGTATAAACTTGTAATATTGTAAGATACTAAGAAATGTTTATATAGGCTAGCTTAGTTTACTTCTTTAGAAAAAGTGAAGGAATCTTTAGTGCAGAATTCAGAAGATAGTAGTGGAGATAGTAGTTCTCTTAGAAATTTAGCTAATTGATAATTATAAGTACCAATCGATGATACAATAGGTCTGAAACTTATATTATTGTCAGAATTCATCTTATGTAATTTTGGAAAACCATAGATGCGGGCTGGACGAGAATTTGAAGGATATATTTATTATAGTTGGATTCATCAAAGAAACCTTTTTTCTTGAGTTTCCTTAAAAAGTTTTGAAGTTGTATTTCTCTAGTGATAGTGACGTCTTTTTAAGTTTTTTAATTCCATGCTTTTTCAGAGTTTCTTTAGATGGGCGATATTTATATACATAGGAATTAGCAAGATAAGAAAATTCAGCTTTAAGTTGACAGGAGTTATTACTATTTTTTAAATTATTCTGAAGATATCAGTTTATGAGTTCAAACAAAGAATATATATCGGTTCTTTTAAGATGTTGTGGTGGAATAGAGAAGTTCAGTCCACAAAGATGTCTGATTTGTCATCTGAAAGCTTAAATGAAGAAAGATTCTTAATAATATCTGAATTATTAAAAGGTAAACTATGACCATTTGCTAAATTTCAAAAAATACTTGCATTTTGACCAGACGTTAGCATGTTTTTTTTTATTCACAAATAAAAAAAAAAACATTTTAACTAATTATAGTAACTAAGTGAACAAAAGTAATATGAAAAATCAAATACTTACATCCTGCTAATGGTCTCCTCACTTGTTTTGCAAACTGATTTAAATAGTTTCCTGGAGGTGAGTACTGAGCAACTATGATGGTAGTTTGTATATCTGGTCGAAATGCAACACCCACACCAATTTTTTTGGTATCATACCAAATCATTTGCGTAAATGTACCACTTTGCCAAGTGAACCCTGGATTTTCAAACCTGTAGTATTTCACACCTTCATACCTATGTTGTAAAAAATATTCATAACTTGAATTAATGCTAATACATTTAACTTATACCAAGTTAATTTTATATTAATAAAAAAACATATTATAAAACAATAAGTTTTTACAAATCATTAAATTCAGGGCATATAGTTCCCATAGTAATAGTTCCAATAGTAATAGTTCCCATGAGATTTGACCTAATAAATTTTTTATGTATTTATTATTAAATACAAAAAAATATATACAATTTTTTTAAATAACAGTTTATTAAGCGCCTTTATTATGATTTGTACATAGACAGATATAGTTAAGCAAGCATTATTTTATTGTAGTTTTAATAATTTTTGATTAAAATAACACAAGATAGCAATATCTTATAATATGGTAGATAGCTAGTGTGGAATATCTTACCAATAAACTAAGAGTGTGTATATCTTGTCTCTATGTAAATAGTAATGACTTTAAAGCAAAATATAAAAAAACAGTAATGATTTCAAACAGTTTCTGATTCAAGCCATGCAATATCGACCATTAAAAATTTGTGTATGAAATAAAAAGTAAACTAATGTAATGATGAAATTTTTGAAATAGATTGTAAATTAATGTAATGATGAAATTTTTGCAGTAGAAAGAACAATATGGTAAACTAATGTAATGATGAAATTTTTGAAATAGAAAGAACAATATGGTAAACTAACATAATGATGAAATTTTTGAAATAGAAAGAACAATATGGTAAACTAATGTAATGATGAAGTTTTTGAAATAGAAAGAACAATAAGGTAATTAGGGACTCCACCTCTAAAGCAAATAAGAGGAATTCTAAGGAAATTCAGTTACAAGTTTTTTTTAATTTTATTTTTTAAGCTACTTTTGTGTACCTTGTCATGAAAACTCAGCACATGGAAATATGCTTGTGATTTGTCATGAAAACTCAGCACATGGAAATATGCTTGTGATTTGTCATGAAAACTCAGTACATGGAAATATGCTTGTGATTTGTCATGAAAACTCAGTACATGGAAATATGCTTGTGATTTGTCATGAAAACTCAGCACATGTAAATATGCTTGTGATTTGTCATGAAAACTCAGCACATGGAAATATGCTTGTGATTTGTCATGAAAACTCAGCACATGTAAATATGCTTGTGATTTGTCATGAAAACTCAGCACATGGAAATGCTTATAAATTATAAATATGATTTAATATTATGCTTCTGATTATTATCTTTTTTCAAGTTTTGATTTTTTCTAATTACATTGCTCGGAATTAGGAAAAATGATGTCAGCAATAATTTACTGACCTCATTCTATTAGAGGTCGGCATCAGGTCAGCAAAAATGTAAGCAGATTTTATTTTAAAATAGTTGTAAAAAAATAGTTTTTGTAGTTTTACATTAAAAAAAAAGTTGATCTTATTTAAAACCCTCAACCATATTGGAAAACAGAATCAGTAAGCCAAGTAGCTTTTTTTTAAAGCAAATTAATCACCTAATTTAACTGTTGTTTCAAGATAAATTAAACCGCCATTTTGAAGGTCTTACTTTATGGAATGACAGTTTAATTTCCTTTTGCAACATCTTCCAGTGAAATCTTTTCAGCCGAAGCTTCTCAAAGTTCTGTAAGATGTTCAAGAACTAATGGGAATACTAAGTTCTGAGAAGGTTTACATAAGTCTGTTCTTAAAATCTTGTCAAAATTTTTTTTCTGTTTAGTGGGTAGATACTAAATGTTTTAAATTCATTTACAGCAAACTCTTGTATGTGATCATACAATCTATATAATATAATCATAAAAACTAAGATTATTATATAAGTCAAGAGATTTAGAATCAATCTTGGTAAAATATTTTTGGTAGGGATGTATGAAACCTTCCTTCACCAATTTTCCATTTTTTGGTTTCTCCGCGCAGCGGCCTTGCTCGTCAAGGTTCGTGTTTCGGAGTTATAGAGTTGAGAGAGGGTTATAACCACAAATAAGTAGCCTCCTTGTCTGTAGTGGCCTTCTCGGCATTGAGGAGGTGAATTAAAATTAAAAAAAAAAAAAAAAAAAAATACACCAAAATATAATACACCATCAGCAGTACATGCAAACTTAATAGAAACTTTGATGTATTCATAACTCCATGATATTTGATGTATTCATAACTCCATGATATTTGATGTATTCATAACTCCATGATACTTGATGAATTCATAACTCCATGATATTTGATGTATTCATAACTCCTTATGTTCAGCACTTTTTCGGAATTTTTGTTTTGGTTTTTGGGTCAACAGAAGTATTAGTTTCGTCTTTTTTTTATATTTTATACATTTTTTAAAGTTTCTTCTAAATTGTTAAAAAATCTATTTTTTATAGTTCCTTCTAAATTGTTAAAAAATCTATTTTTTATAGTTTCTTCTAAATTGTTAAAAAAGTTATTTTTTACAGTTTCTTTTAAATTGTTAAAAAATCTATTTTTTATAGTTTCTTCTAAATTGTTAAAAAATCTATTTACAGAACCACATGAAATTGCATTTTCTACAAATATTTTGGCATGTTCATAAGATTAAAGACTTGCCATCATATAAATGATCTTACCCAATCATTACCAGGCAAATTTTCTTTAAATCATGGGCAGTCTATCCCAGAATTATTAAGAAAACATTGTATAAAAAAATTTGAGGTCTACTTTATCAAATGCACAGCTAAATTCACTAAAAGTTGTAATTTATAGTGCAATTGACATCTTCTTATTTGGTAAAAACAAACTTTTTTGACCAACCACGCTATTTTTCCGTAAAGCACTAACATGACACCTTAGAGGTCTGTGTGGTATGTTTAGTAGCCTTGCTACACATCTACAAGGTTCTCCATTCTTAACAAGTTTAATAGCCCTTTTAAGTTCACTATCTGAGTAAATTTTGAACTTTGTCTCAAAGTAGTTTCTCACTATTTCCACAAATCTGTTATAAAAAAGTAAAAAACATGAGCTAAAAATTCAAGTTATTTACATCTTTAAAGATTAGTTTTATTATCAAAAATGTTTCAAGTAAAAAAAACAGTTAATTCATGATGGTCATTTACCCCATATAAAAGTGCTTAATTACCCCACCTTACTTTAAAAACCTATATTTTATAAACAAATCATTTTTAATACTTAAAAATTTGTACGAATTTACTTCAATAAATGTATGGCATACTGGAGAAAATTTAAAACTCTAAAAAAGTTTTAACTACAATTGCTTACCCTTAGTGTTTCCAGTTAATAGTTTTTATGAAATTCTATGAATCTACATTATGATATTTTTGACCAAAGAGCTGTAATTAACAACTTATAATTTCTTAAAGTTACTTTAAGTATTTCTAGTTGAAAACGAACTACTCAGCTTAGTTAAAGAGAGATCCAAACAATTTGCATTTCTTAAACACAAAAATTTACATTTTTAAACTTAAATTTTTTTGTGTTTTCTGCTTATTTTCGACTATTACTGTTATATACTTTTAAAAAGTAGAATTTAACCTTTTCTTATACAATATATTATTTTTTTATAAATCTTTTTTCAACCAAAGCATCAAGCAAAACAAAACTACCACTAAAATACATAAAACACGACAGGGCAGCATCATAAAAACATCTGAAACAAATGTGTTAAGTATTTACATTCCAAAAATGTCTTATATTATCTTTCCGTAAACAGTAAAAACATTAAAATTGAAGTTTTCACATTAGTTTTCACTCATAGTAATTTACTTTCATAATCTCTTGATAGTCGTTTGAATAAATTACTAAACAAAAACGTTTCAGTTTTTATATAACTTCTGCCCCATAGTATTAAGCTAAAACTTCAATCTCTTAGATAATAAAATCACCGAATATTTGTAAACAAAATAAAACAACGAGCTTTGTGATTTTTTTTAAAAAATAAACCAATCAAAACGCACACAGAATAAAACAATATTTTTTCAGATCTCTCCTTAACTACGCTGAGTAAGCACTGATATCAAGCATTTCATTTGACAATTAAAATATGTTAAAAGATGCACGATTAGCCTATAAAATACTTAATTACCCCATTATAAGGTACTATTAGTAAAAAACAATATATAAATACAAATTATAACAAAATAAAAAACAATAAAAAAAACCAGTATTTTGCTGCATGGTGAATGTGTTGGGATTGTGGTAGTCCTCGAATTGAGTAAATATTTTCTCCATAATCTTGTCCATCTCTTTCTGAATGATATAACCCCCTATTTTCAGACACTAGTCTATCTGCCCATTTTTGTGACTGACTTGCTAATGCATTATCCCATACCAGCTTTGGTGCACCATGTAATGAACGTAAAAAGTTGTTTGAATACAATGCTAATTCTATAAGAATTAAATGTAAAAAAAGGTTATAGAAAGGAGAATATTATTATATGATAATACTCTACAATCATCTCACTTATGCTACAAATATACTCTACAATTACACAGATCTGCAAATTGAAATTTCTAATTTTTTTATTTTTAAATAGTAATGGGTAAATCATGAGTATTTCGGCATGCTGAATTCGAGAATGCCATTCATTTCAACCCATTGCATAATTTTCCGTAAAGTGGAAATTAAAATATAGGCAAAACCCAAAAAAAGTCATAAATTGCTTTTTCTTTTCTGGGACATTAAATTTTTACAATGCATCTAGCAGTAGCCTATCATATTTGCATCCCATTGAACTTGATACCATCTCTCCATTTCATTCATATCTTGGTAAAACCTCTCACCTTGCTCTTAATTATTTGCACCAAATTTTTTCGGGAAGTAATCTAAATGGGAGTTCAAAAAAAGGAGTTTAAAACTCATTGAGCATCCCAGATTTTAAAAATTGCACAACATATAAGTCCAGGTCCTTCTGATTGCCTAGAAACTTTGTAACTACATCTTTTAAAGAATTCCATGCTGATCTTTCAACATCGTTAATCACATTTTTAAAGTTGTTATTTTTCATCAGCTAAGATGGTCAGGACCAACAAAAACTCCCTCCAGCTTTGCTTCAGACAGACGAGGAAACTTGCTTGAAAGGTATTTAAATGTATCACCATCTTTTGGCAATGCCTTCATTAACTGCTTCATCATACCAAGTTTAATATGGAGTGGTAGTAGAAGGACCTTTTTAGGATTAACCATAGATTCAAAGCTCATGTTTTTCTCTCTGACCTTCAATGTTCTTTTCTGCCACACTTTCGGGTTCCAGTGTTTAGCTATAGCACAACTATCCCATTCACAAAGAAAACAGGGAAATTTTGTGTAACAACCTTGCTGTCTAAGTATCATAAAAATTACTTTAAGATTCCCACAAACTGTCAACTCAAATTCCTTGTACTTTAACTTATTCAAGATCAATGGCAAGTTACCATAAGTTTCCTTCAAATGCACTGAATGACAAATGGGTATGCGTACTTATTCCTGTTGTGAAGTAAAACAACTTTTATACATCAATCAACAGTCTCCATTTTTTAGCTATATGTTGAATCTTGATTGTGGATATAAAACCATTAATATCGGAACAATAGACTAGCTCATCATCTTGAGAAAAATAAGGCTCAAAATGTTTTTTTCTATATCTATACCAAGCAAAAGAAGTTCCAGATATCAATAAATTCTTCTCTTGCAGTCTGGATCCTAGTAACTCAGCAGATTGTTTTGGGAGTCTCAAATCTTGGATTAGGTCATTTAATTCAGCTTGAGAAAATTGTTAAGGTCCACTGAGGTCGCCTACTTAAAACTCGTCACTAGACTTTCTTCTGATTCACTTTCTGATGATGGCAAATCGTCTAGGCTTTGGGGTATTTGTGGTATAGGAATGCCAGGTCGGTGAGGGAGTGGGAGGAGTGCCAAATCTACGTTAGGGTAACAAATTTATATTTTATTTTTGGTACTATACCCTTACACATTGCATGAACAAAAGTAGCAGTCACTACTGTGGTTTCGAGGCTCTCTCCAGATTATGGGAACTCCAAAATGAAAAAAAGATGTTATGAAGGACTTAGAATGTGGTCAAAGGTAAAGTTATATACTTTACTTTTTGACCGAATTCTAAATTCTTCAACACACCCTAAACAAACTCCATGCAGGGTCCAAGATTTGTCCTGGTCCCTTATCTTCACACCAAAATAAGCAAAATACACTTTTTCAACAAAATCAGTAATATTTCTTTGTTGTTTTTTCACTACAAACTCACAACAAATATAGCAAAAACTCTCAGAAGAATTTACGCAACCTCTTGAAGTCATTTTTAAAACGCATGTTACAAAAGTTAAAACATAAACAAACAAATGAAAAAGCATGGACCAGAGTTTGGGAATTCCTTGAGAAGTTGGGCATTGTTAAATATCAGGATTTTTCATTTACTATGGAAAGTCCTGATATATATGATTCAACGCTGAATAACTTTACCGTCATGAGTTACTAAATGTTTTTTTCAGTCTATAAAACATAATATTATCTTATAATAAGTTGGAATTAATAAAAAATATATATTTCGGCAACAAACCTCGTTTTGCGATTTAAGATAGGCCATCCCATAGTATTTTGTATTTTGTGGAAAAACCTAACATAAACTTTTTTGATAATTTTTCTGAATTCAGCAACCAAAAATACATAGAAATGAATCTTATTTCAAAGAAGAAAAGTTGCAACCCTGTGTTATCTCTAATAAACTATTGTTTTTTTATTCACAATTTTTAATTAGCTCATTATCATGTAAGACAAACTTTTTACTTTTTTGAGAAACAAATCAAAAGCTAGCTTACCTTTTTCAGATGGCGAGCGAACAATTTTAAAATTTGTATCTAAAATATTTTTAATATTGAAAGTTTAAAATTTTAAGTAAATATTATTTATGCTATAGATATATCAATATAAGATGTAATACTAGTGATAGTTAAATAATAAGCTGAAATTTTTAACAAATAACAATTAATGATAAAAATAAATAATGCATTTTGGTATTGATACATATACAGCAGATTCCAAAAATTTGCGGACAGGCTAAAAGAAAAATTGAATTTCACTAATATTTCAACCCATATTTTAATAAAGCTAATGTTATATACCAGTTAAAAGGTTTTTACATTTACTATGATGTTTGGAACAATAATTATTTAATTATTGATTTTAAAAATAACAATTTCGATGAGTTTGAAAACTTGCAAGCAAATTAAAACTTTTTACATTTTTCCCAAATAATTGCTAATTTTATGGTATTGTAAACAAGTGCATTAATGAAACTTTTATAAAGCTTAACATATATTATTGAGATCAAGTGGTTTAAGAAATGTTTCTCATCTCCAGTAAAAAAAGTTGTTTGTGGGATCAGTCACATGAAAATTTATTTTATAAGAAAGCACAGCTTTACAGAGTAAGTCAGCTATTGGACATATTGTGAAGTTATTTAAACTTAGTAAATCTACTATGAATCAATAGCAACTTTTCTTGTATCTGAAAAAAAAATTGGTTTATGAGTATGCATCACTCAAACTTTAACAAAACAAAGTGTTCTTTGTAAATTGTTTTGTCAGATAATCCTGAGTTTAATTTATATCATGGTAAAATGAGGTCAATTAATCCTCCATCAGTGTTTCTAAATATCTCTAAAAGTTGTCTACAAAAAGTTGAATACAAAACAACACATCGCCAGGATAAAAAGCTTGTGAACTTGGCGACTGTGGATTTAAATTTACAAATAATATGTTTTTTATGGAATGAAATATAGTATTTTTACTGCAAAAAGACCAATTAAAAAATTTTTGGTCCTAAAAATGGACAAAAAATATCAATTTTCTGTTGATGCGCAACTAAGAGTAGTTCAGTTTTTTGTTGTTTGAATTTACTCAGATTTAGCGCGTTTTGCAAATGGGCATTTTATTTAAAAAACTGGAACTAAATTCATTTAGAAGACTGGGAATTTTTTTTCTAGCTAAAAAGCGATTGATTTCCCTGAAGAACTGAAATTCTCAAAACAAACTAGCAACAGATTTTTAACAATTGTCCAAGATCCTTTTAAGTGATGAAAGATAATGTGTATTCAAATAAATACTTTGTTCACAATTTTTTAAACTCAAAAAAAAACTTTATATTTTAATCAATTTAAATACATTAATAAAATAATAAATATTGGTTCAAAACTTAATATAAACATGAAAACCTTTTAATTGGTGTATAGTATGTTAGTTTTAGTATAGTACATGCAGAAGTATTATTTTAATCCTGTCTGTAAATTTTTGGATGCAATTATATACTAATATACTATATATATATATATATATATATATATATATATATATATATATATATATATATATATATATATATATATATATATATATATATATATATATATATATATATATATATATATATATATATATATATATATATATATATATATATATATATATATACATATATATATACACAGTAGCTTGGAAAGAATTAGAAACGCCAACTTTATTTCAGCTTTTAATGCATTACTTTTTACAAACTTTATAAAATAAGCTGAAATTTTTGCCAAATGTGTTTTATATTATTTTAATTCAAAATACTTATTTTCAAATTCGTTTCCAAAATATTTTTAAAATTGAAAGTTTTAAAATTTTAAATAAATATAATTTATGCTATAGAAAGTACCAATGATATACAATACTAGTGTTGGTTTAACAATAAGCTGAAATTTTAACAATTTTACATTTTACATTATTTCAATTTGAAATACTTAGTGTAAAAATTGTAAAAAGTAACATCAAATTTAAATTTAAAAAAATTTGTGAAATTTTTGATTTCAAAAGCAGTGAAGCATAACTATTTGTGAAAATATTTGTTTATTTATAAAATTTTAATTTTAAATTAATTTAATTACATAGCGATATTTTAAAAGCTAAAGAAAAAGAGAAAAGCTAAGGACTCAAATGAAATAAAGAAATTAACTATAAAAAGTGTGGGAAAAAAAATGCCTTAAAGAAAGATTTTTGAATTTTACAATGTTTCTAAACCAGGAATAAATCACATTATGAAATGATTTTGTCAGTGCAAAACTATTAAAAGAAAGCCTTGCTCTGGAAGACCTAAAAAAAACAAATGAATATGATGATGATGTTGATGATGATGATGATGATGATGATGATGATGATGAAGAAGAAGAAATGAAAAGACTGATAAATTATTAGTAAGAAGAAGCTTGCTATAGTGTTATGACTGCTGTCAAAAAAGAAACTTAGACTTTTTCAGACTGCTGTCAAACTTAATTAAATTATGTATCAATTTTGTGACTATAGATCAATACAACTAAACATCAATTAGGGCAAAATAATCTGTATGGTTCATGCTAAAAAACTGCTAAAATCTGCCAGTCAGAATAATATTTTTGACGAGTTGATTGATTCATTGTATAAAAGGTATTATGAACCAGAGAGTTTATTTATTTTTGAGGAGTTGATAACTGGTCAAAAGTTAATTTCTCTGATAAATTAAAGTTTATGCTATTCAGTAGTGATGGAAACCACCAGTCATCCAATAGGGGACAGACTTAATCAAAAATATCACTTACCTATTGTTACACACTAGGGAAATATAGTTAATTTTAGTTATAACAATGTGAGTCCCATTCATTGCAGAGAAGGTATTATGAACCAGAGAGTTTATTTAGACATCACAAAGAATGTTATGCTGCCACTTTTAAAGTATAAAATGAGATGCAAATGGATCTTAGTAAAAATTTCAGCTTATTTGAGAAAGTTTGTAAAAAGTTATGTATTAAAAACTGAAAAAAAAATTCTTTTGTTCTGAACTGAAAAAGAAATTTTTCAGAAATGTTATAAAGAAAAAGTAAAACATATTTTACTACGTTAGTCTACTACAGTTAGTTAGTATTTTACCTGGCCTTGAGTAAGCGTAGGGAGTGTATTGTGGGATTAAGTTGTTAAATAGTGATGCTGTTGTTAAAGATACTATTGAATTTTGTTTTTCTTGAGTTTCCTTAGTAGCAACATCATCTTTGCTATGATTAAAATTATCAGTAATGTTTTTAGTTGAGTATAAGCCAAAAGATGTATTTGAAATTATTAGATCCAAAATCAGTTGTTGATTTAACTTTTTAGTTCCAACATCACTTGTGTGTTGAAAAACATCAAGTTGGAACAACTCTTTATCTACGATAAAAAGTACTAAATAGACAAAGCACAATCTTTGCGTTGCGTCAAAATATTTTGCGCATTTAGAAATCTGACAGGTGCAAGAATTTAAAAAAAAAATTGAAAAAGTGCTGTACAGTGATGTTATAATTTATTTATCAAATGTTTAAATATCTTTAAATATCTATCTTTGCTTGTCTTTAAATATGATTAAATATCTTTAATCTTTAGGTATGGTTAAATACCTCTAAATATCTTTAACTATCTATGCCTATCTTTTATTATGAAATTTTAAAAATAAAGTATCAAGCCTTCAATGCATGCTGTACTATTATCAACTGAAGATATATAGAACAATTCATTTGCGTAATCATGCTTTGTAACAAAATACATAAACTTTAATCATTTAAGTTAATCATTTTCAACTTTAGAAAATGCTTCTCAAGTAACTGTCTCAAAAATTGCCAATTAGCATTTGCCAAAATACAGAGGAAATTCATTCACAACATGCTTCACACCCTAAATAAACTATCTGATTGGTAATTAACACATAGTAAAGAGTTATGTAGTGACATAAGAGAGGAGTCATGTAAACAGAGAAGTTTTGTTAAGAATTAAGAGAGATTAAACATATTAAAAATAAGAGAAACAAAGCATATGTATATATATATATTATTATATATATATATACATACGCTATATATATATATATATATATTTCGAAGTTTCGCAGGGCCCTAATATATATATACATATACATATATATATATATATATATATATATACATATATATATATATATATATATATATATATATATATATATATATATATATATATATATATATATATATATATATATATATATATATATATATATATATATATATATATATATATATATATATATATATATATATATATATATATATATATATATATATATATATGTATATATATGTATATATATGTATATATATATATATGTATATATATATATATATATATATATATATATATATGTATATATATATATATACACAGGGCCTATTCTAGGAAAAAATTTGGGTGGCGGTACCCCCTTGTTTTGGCGCACTTTAATAGAAAATAGAAGGTTCTCAATCTTTAATTTGGGCGGTGCCCAAATATATATATTTAAACTGATTCCTAATTCACTTCCAACAAGGTTGCAAGTGAATTCCATCCAACAAGGTTGCAACTACTATTAAGTTTTGAGTTACTAGAAAACAAAAGGTTAAAGTTAAAGAACATGGAAATGGTTAATTTAAAACTTAAACAGTTGTAGGTTATATTAGGTAGGAAAACCTAAAGATGGGTAAGAATTTTGAGGTTTCTTGATGTGCGGGGAAAAAAACTAGATAAATAAAAATTTTAATACAGTAATAGTTAGACTTTGTTGAATGTTTCTCAGAGTTTTGGTTGATTGAACTAGAGATGATAGTTTTTTTGAGCAGCAACCATAATAGTATTTGTAGATGCAACCTTACCAAGATGGAAGAGTGACTCAAGCTTGGCAGATAAAGCTTGTTGAACTACATTTACAATGTGCTTTTAGAACTTGTCTGAAAGTGAGAGGTTTGTTATTTGTCAATATAGGAATGTCAACAATATTGTGATTGCAGTTGATAGCAATAAATTAGTTTTTTTAAAGTTAAAATTCACAACCCACTACAAGCCCCAAGCTGTTTTAGACGCAGACTCTAGACATAAGATTGACAAAAAGATTGTTATTGTAGATAAGAAGTCACTAGAAATGAAGAATAGTGAAGGCCTTTGAGAATGCCTGCACTTTGAGAACTGCAGTTAGAAAGAAATGATTTAATAATCTTAAAACTTTTATGTAAAGAAATTAATAACAGATTAATAACAGAGAAAGAAATTAATAAACAAATTAATAACAGAGAGAAGTTAGAGGGTTTCTAAATTTTTTTAAAATTGGAGCCATTTATTTAGCACTTATTTATAGTTTAGCGAGAATTGAAGAGAGTTATGGAGAACCCTTTTGTAAGACTATGCTGGAGATGTTGTCTAAACCACAAGCTATAGAAGAGTTTAATTGAGAACTGACTTCTAACATGATGAAAAACATATATATATATATATATATATATATATATATATATATATATATATATATATATATATATATATATAATTTTTATGTTAATTTATATCCCCAAGGCAATGAAGACCACTACAGTCGAGGAGGCTACTTTAATTGTAGTTACAACTCTTATTTAATTCTATACCTCTGAAACAGGAACCATAATGAAAAAGGCTGTTTTGTAGAGAAAAAGTTGAAAAAAGGGATAAGGTGGGGATCAAACTCGGAACTTCTTGTTTATAAGACAAGCGATTTACCACTGCACCACTATTGCAAATATTAAGTAATAATAATAAATCTTGAAAACTTTTAGTCAATGTTAAAAAGTTTTTTAAACCTCAGCTGACATCAACAGTCTAGAACTAATTTCTACTAAAAGATACATTTTGCCATACAATATCAGGCCTTCATTGTTTTAGATTTTAGATTTACTTTGCTATTTTTTTGAGCATTTTTTAAAAGCGTTAATTATCAAAACTTGCAAAGAGCAGTGATATATAAACCGTTTAATTTTGTGTGCAGAGTGCAAACCGCTACGATGCGACCTCTTACACTAAGACCTGCAATATGGAGAAAATTTTGTGTGCAGAGTAGTTGTTCTTTAAAGTTTTAGTTTTGGAAACAAAAAATAGTATAAGACTGAATTAAAACTATTTGACCAAAAGAACGCTCTAACCAAAATATTAAGTTTTGTGCACTCAATGAACAAAATTATGAATGTTTGGCTATGCCTGTAAAAACTTATTAAAAAAAAAATAACTATTAATAATAAAAAATTTATTAATTATCATTAATAATATTTTATTTAATAAATAAAAAGAAGTAGTAAAAAATTCAAAAAATCTTTAAAGTTACTAGTGCCAATTCTTTTACTTTTAAAGAAAATCTTTAAAGTTACTAGTGCCAAATCTTTTACTTTTAAAGAAAATCTTTAAAGTCACTAGTGTCAATTCTTTTACTTTTAAAGCAGATAAAAAACTTAAAAAATTAATTTAAAAAAACAGTATACTGATTAGTGTCAGTTTAATGCTTTCTAAATTGCTTGAAGTTTATAATAAGTAATATAGCTACCATCACAGATAATTTGTACCAATTCACTTTGTGTTGTATTTGTAATCAAGAAAATTCTCACTGGATTTATTAGATGGTGAAGTACATTATTTTCTTTTATTTCTTTTACTAGAAAGAACACAACTTCGATTTTTTGTAAGCGTAACACACTGACATAGTCCTAAAAATTATATATACATACACACAGATTTTTTACTTTTACAAAAATAAATTTTTATATAAATATTTTTTATTTACATTTTCATTAAACCTAAAATATCTAGTGGAATTGGAACTGACATTTTCACATTACTTATATTGGCTACGCTTTTATTACTTAGCTTATACAATTATAAAAAGTGAAAAATAATTAAGAAAAACTTAAAATCAAAAGAATTTAAATTTAACTTTACTTTATCAATTAAAAAATTCAAATGAATCACAGGAGGAACAGCAAAATTATGACAAAATGCTTTAAACTTTGCTTCGTCCCGGGTTAAAAGTATTTAAAGTTTTTTTTTAATGCTAAAAATATAGGTTATTGTTATTCATTCAATATTTCTAAAAAATTTGTGGCTATAGAAATATAAGTTTTTACAAATTTACTAAAAAGCAAATCTCTCATTGTTTAAATGGTTTTTTTATTATGGTGCTAAAACATAAGCACACACAAAAAAGATAAAATTGTTAAATTACATGAAAAGAAGTTAAAGATTAACAAATAGTCATGCAAATCCTTTTAATGCTTCAAATATCAGAGAAATTGTTCCTCACACAAACTCTCTGATGATGAATTAAACATGAATTTAAACTAACAAATCATTCCCTTCAAACTAAATTTCAAAATGCATAAAACTATCAATGATAAAATAAAATTCAAAAACCTAAGAAAAATGTTATCATAAATAAAGAAATTCAACTTCAATATTTTCTAAGAAAATTAAAAGCAAAAGGTTTTTTCAGATTCTACATACTCATACACGATTGGTTCTAATGATTCTACATACTCATACATGATTGGCTCTAATGATTCTACATACTCATACATTATTGGCTCTAATGATTCTACATACTCATACATGATTGGCTCTAATGATTCTACATACTCATACATGATTGGCTCTAATGATTCTACATGCTCATACAAAAAAATTATTCCTTTTGGATCCCAATCCTACTCCTATATATGGTCTCCCAAAGATGTATAAATTAAACTTTTCTGAGACTACCATAAACCTATTGTATCATCTATTGGTACCTATAGTTATCAACTACATTTCTAAAACATGTTATCTTCATTATTACCCACTAAACTTTGAACTCAAGATTCAATTTTCTTTGTTAAAGAAATAACTTAAGTTAATCTCCACAAACACTTAGTATCATATGATGAGACAGCCTAGTTGTTTGGCCTCAAGAAACCATTGAAATTACAATTAATTCAATTATGTGCAATTATTAAAATAATTAAAATAAAAAATTCAATTTTACCGCTTTGCAAAGGGTCTTACATAAAGTATGCATACAGGTATGGGGAGGAAGGGTGTTACCCAAAAACATACGAATGCATACAAGTGGGAGGGGGTGTTAAAGATTGCAAGTATGTATTAATTTGACTACCTCTCATTGATTTTCTTTTTTTTTAACAAAAGATTTGAATTTTATGAGTTTAAAAAATCAATATTACATTTTCTGACAGAGAAATATCAAAGCAACTAAAGGTTTTTTTGTTTTTAATGTTTTGAAAAGTTTATGCAATTATTTTAATGCGTACATACACTGAGGGGAGGCCATTTATAGCATACAGGTGCATACAAGGGGAAGGGAGGGTACTAAAGCAGTGATTTTACTGCATACATTCTTTATGGATGATTACTTATGATTAAACTGATGGTGTGGTCCTAGGTTCTTCTTTAACACCTGCTCTTGCCAATATTTGTGGGTTATTTTGAAAATGATTGGATTAAAAATTACCATGGTGCAAAGCCACTTCTCTGTAAAGGATGTATATCCTACCCATCCATATAAAAAAAAATTAACATCAATATTTCATCACTAAAAAAGAAAAAATCAAAGAACCTAAGTCTTATTGACTTTTTTTGGGAAAAACGTCTAACTCTATTAAAAAAAGCTTAAACTAAATTGCAAAAAGGTATTACAGCTAGGTAACTGTTAAATTAGTATTTACTTCACTAAAAAATTTTACATTACTCCTGTTATATAAAAAAAAAAATATTTTAACCATAGCCTACTATAGTATCAGGTAGAATAAACATACAGCTTTTTAAAAAACTTTAGGCAAGTTTTTTTTATGGAAGCATGCGTTTTTTTTTTGTTTTTTTTTTTACAAATATATAGTTATATATAAGTCATAAATAAAGATTTTTGTAACAAATAAATGAATTTAACTTTGGAAATGAAAAAAAAAATGTATAATAAATGCAAACCACATTTCATTGGTATAATCATATAGTAAAAACTCACTTTTTATTGTGCAAAAAACTCTAAAACCTTTATGATAAAATAACTTACAAAATATATTAAACATTTAAGATAATTTCAAAATTTTTATTTTGGGTTCCTTTGAAGATTGCGGGGAATAGATAGCAATAATTGTTAAAAAATATATTGATATTGAAAAACATATGATATTCTAAACAACTGAAAATATTTTTCTTTAATTTCCTAACTAAGATTTAACCAATTTATTTTGCATCGCTCATTACATCATTTTTAAATAACTTATTTTTTCCAAGTATTTTATATGAAGAAAGATTTTAGGAAAATGTTAGAAGAATTGAGTGTAATTTATATTGAATTGTTTGATGTTAAAAATATTTTTCATTCATAAAAAATATTTTTCATGCTGCTGTCTAAATTAATGTTTATATTTTTACTTTCATTTGCTCTTCTTATTCAGTTTTTTTTTGTTAAAATTAGAAAATATTTCTAATTTAAAACTATCGCCTTTGTGAAATAAGTCTTTTCAAGATTAGCAAGTACAAAAAGTTTTTCTAAATTTAAAATTCAATTTCATAAGGTTTGTCCACACGTCTAAAACTTTATTTTGTTATGTTTATGTAAAAAATATATATATATAAAAATATGTTCTCCAATGTTTTTTTGAAACATTGGTAAATCCATTAAAGTCAGATACCAACATTAATATCCAATGGCAAATGTTATCTCCAAGCGAACTTAAACCACCATGATTAATCTCTTTGACATAATCTCCAAACTAGTCAAAACAAAATGATATATCTTCAACTGGAAGATTTCTCTATTGACATAGCCAGCAATGTAAACCAAAGACATTTTAATTTCTTTACACAAACTGCTTTCAATAACAAGAAGATTATGAAACCCATTGAACAAAATAACATCTTGCATTTGTATTAAATTTATATAAAAAAAACTCACCTACAGGTTTTTTTTAAGCTGTGTATCTACTCAGGCTGTCACTATAATGTACATGATCTGAACATTATAAAGATATTAATGTATCTATATATTTATATATATTATATATTTATATATCTGAGCATTATAAAAGAGACAAAATATAAATATCTCTATATTAATGTAAATTTTTCCATGCAATTAAATGATATTTTTCCATTTAAAAAACATCTAATAAGTTAAAACTTAAAGTATTTATACCTATTCTGTATCCTTTTAACCTATCTTTTTGTTCATTCCTATTTATTCTTTTGTACGATTTCTCCAAAATTTTAAATAAATTTTATTGCATTTTTGTAATGATATTGTTTATAGTTTGTTCATAAATAACTGGAAGCAAGCTGAACTTTTGAAACTAATTAATTACTAGGAGGTATAAAAAGATAATTAAAGATAAATTTAATTAATCTAATTAATTTAGGTCTGATTAACTTCTTTCTAATTAGAACCCCTAATAAGATCTCTTAAACATAAAAATTGGTCAATGAAAGGGCCGTTATTAATTATTAAGGGCAATACAAAAATTTATCTTTTTAATTTTTATGCATATTTAAAAAAAATTATTTTACAAATGTTTTCATATCTTCATAATTAAAGTGCTTAAATAATTTTTTTTTTTGTTGTAATATTGAATGAGTGAATATAATATTTGATTACTATTTCTAACCAACTTAATATCTCTATGGTCTCTACAATCATTATTGCTTTTATATCTGTCATCATTACTCATACAGAATATCTTCAGTATGGCTACACCCAGCTGATAACCTGATGTATAGCATTATCGAACTTTAAACTTGACTGAGTTATCTTTTTTCTTCATTATCTTCACAGATCTCGCATCTTTTCTTCGTGCTGTAAGCAAGAAATTTTTTATTTCTTTGATTTCACGAGGCATTTTAGGTTGTTGTTAATATCTACAGCAGCTGCTATTAGTTTAAAAGAGTTTTTAAATTAAATTAGTTTTAAAATTATAACATTTTTTTTAAATTTAATTTTTTAAGTTTTTAAATTTAATTTTTTAAGTTTTTAAATTTAATTAGTTTTAAAATTATAACAGTTTTTAAATTTAATTAGTTTTAAAATTATAACATTTTAAATTAAATTATTTTGGGTGTCCTTTAACCTCACTCTTTTTATGTTTGCAAAATGAAAACATTAAACAAGAATTAATTACATCTTTAAAATCTCAAAATCCCCTTAATCTCAAACCACAATACTGAATAAAATTCAATGGAAACTGTTTACGTAAAGTCTTTCTTTTTTAAATCATAATTAAAGTATCAAAGTTTTAGCAGCCTGGAGTTTTTTTTTAGTATTATAAATTTATTTGAAGATTTTTGGAAATTTATATGAAGACTTTGTATGTACATTTGTATGTATTGCATGTACTGAATTTGTATGTACATTTTTTAGAAACTTATACAAAGGTTTTTAGAAATTTACATAGAGATTTTTAAATATTAGAAAACTTTTATTATGTAACATGAGAATTTTTTGCTTCAAATAAGAAATTTTAAAAAAATATGTAAACTTTTTGATTTACAAAATAACTTTCGAATGTTTATTTTCCATTAATAATCATTTAATTTTCTGAAAACAGATTTTTTATTTTTATTTTTCAAATATAACTTGCCTTCACAATAGTGTGTTACACTTGAGTACACAACAGTTAAGGAGGCTATTTTTCTTTACTTTTACTCTCAACCAACCAACTTAAGG